GGTCAAGGTGACAAGTGTTAACCAGCAGTGTCTGAAGAAGCTGTTTGTTCAGACTCAGGTTAGGTACTGAAGGGCCGCTAGAGCCGGCTTCATTTCCTGTTAGGAGCGGAAACGTCTTCCTCATTGCCTCTTCCTCTGAGATTCAGAGTGGCCTGTAAACACATTTAGCATCCTTGCTCCATAAGCTCTTCCATTTGCCATTTTTTCCTCTTTAGCATCTTTAGAGGTGGTCCTTTTGTTTCTACCATGCCCACTGCTCTTTCTGCAGGGAACAAAATAAGCTGGTTTTCCTTATAATTAATTAATTCATTTTAGAGGGTCCTTCTTTTCTCTTTCTTCAGTTTTCTTTTCTCTGGGATAACTCCAATCTCTTTCAGTCATTTAGTCATCCAACAAACATTTTTTTGTGTTTCTTGACTTTGCCCTGTTGGGGTGTTTATTCTATAAGGTCAATAGATAATAAACAAAATGGCCAAGTAAACAATGTGCTACATGAGAAGGTCAGAGTCTTGAGTGATCAAAGTAACAGGAACTGGAACTTTGGGAGGTGGTGGTGCTTTTCCTGGGGCACATATTTCTACTCACCTCCAAAGGCACAGTTCCACCCAAGTCCACCTTGAGAAACCAGTGAGTTTATTATGAGGGGTCACTCACAGGGGCATGGTGAGAGGTCACCCACAGGGGTTTGGAGGAGGGGTCACTACAGGAGCATGGCGGACTGGGGAGAGATGCATCACTCCAAAGCCCACCCCAGCATGGGTGATGATTCTGAAAGCTGCATCCCTGGGACCCCCCATATGATTTGCAGACTGTGTCATGAGGTCTCCTCAGCTCTGCACTGCCTAGCTAACCCTGGGAGGGGTCTCATGGCATGAGCCCCATGAGTTCCCTGGGATTTGTGAGCCTGTCTCTCCCTACAAGAAGAAGCCCTCAGTCCTGAGGAAAGAGCCGCTCCAGAGAGAGTGAGCAAGTTTCTTCCTGTGGCTGTGATGATCACCCCTAATTCAGTGGCTCACTATCACGATCATTTCTTAGCTACCACGGTTTCTGGGGGTCAGAAATTCAGACACAATGTGGCATTCCATGGTATCTGAGACTGTGGCAGGAAATGTGACAGAAATCACCTAAAGGACAGTTTACCCATGAATCTGCCGTCTGGAGCCCACACAACCCTGTCCACGTGATCTGGGCTTCCTCATGGCCTTTACAAAACCCACATTGCATTTGGCAACTCGACCTTGAAAGTCACACATCAGCTCCTCCATCACGTTTTGTGAGTCAAGGCAACTTCAGCTTTCCTCGATGGTTCAGGAAGAGGACCAGCCGACCCCACCTCTCAACAGTGGCGTTGACAGGGTCAGATTGTAAGAACATTTTTGCAGATAGTATATCCGTGTTGGGCAGGATAAATGGGTGGTAAAGTAACCTAAAGCAGATTGAAAGGAGGCAAGGGGGTGAGTCTCCCCGGGGGCAGGGCTAGGAATGGGACGAGGAAATGTACTGTAAGAGTTCTGAGACGATTTCTTAATTAGGCAAATGTTTATTGCCTAATTAATAATAAAAAAGAAGCAGCATGTGCTGGGTGAGATAGGAAACGTGAGGGTCCGAGGTGGTAAGGGGGGGTCTTGGGTCTAGTTTAAATTATACCAAGTACGATTTGAGGTGGAGTAGGCATGTGGTACGTGTCGAGGTCTGGGGGCCTGAAGGGTGGGGTGGTTTTATTCTGAGGCGGAGCGGTGAGAACGAGGAGCTGTGCGGAAGGAGATAGCCTTTCAGTCTTACGGCTGTTAGAGATGTTTGGTGAATCCTCAAGTGGGATTGCGTAAGAGGCATTCAGATAAATAAACAGGGAGCTCTGAACGAGAGCTGGACAGAACCCCGTGTCACAGGCTGGGGAAGCCAGCACTACTGACTGCAGGCAGAAGCCTGGGCTGAGCCCAGTGTCCCCTGTGAGAAGGATGCTGCAAGAGAATAGGCTGTCCCGGAGACTCGGGGGTGGGTGGGTGGGGAGATGGACAAGGGGCAGGGATGCCTTCTTGGCTCTGACAGGTCAAGCCGTGACAGGCATGGCAGTTGTTGGTAAGCTGTCTGAGCATTTGAGGGCTGGGGGACAGAGGCCTAGCTGAAACAAGCTAGGAAGAACGAAAGGCAAGGGCTTGGGCGTTTGGATCACATGAGTGAGGACAGCACTGCAGCGAGCTGGGGACACATCACATGTGCTCGGCTTTTCTGAGAGAGAGAAAGAGTTGAGGGCTGGCGTGCTGTACGGACGGACGGACGGATGGAGCAGAGAGTGGGAGGGACACCTCTGAGTGGCACCCTGAGTGTGCGTTAGCTACAGGGAAGCCTGTTTCCCTAATCCGGGGGACACGGCAGGGAATGGAGGGGGCATAGACACGTCTTCGAAGCCGTTCCTGCCCCAGGTAGTGTTGGCCAGCGGGTGGCCACAGCCATGACCAGTCCCTACTCTGCAAAGAATCCTGGATCTAAGCAAATAAGTACCACCTTTGATGCCTTCATCCACAACACGCGCACACGCACTTACATGTGCACACATCAACCCACACACACACATGCACGCACACAGCCTAGCTCCCTGCGAAGAAGGCTGCCTGACTTCGGAGCAGCAAGGGCGTGTGAAATGAGGTGAGGCACGCTACACTTTGGCTCCTGTCATTGCCTCCTGCACACACACACACACATACACACACACACACACACACACACACACACCCGAGCTGCAGGTCACCTAGGAAGTGAGTGTCAGGAACCAGTCAGAGAAACAGTGGGCTCCTGTGGAAGAGATCGGTCTACTCTTCACTTTAGATGGAATCCACTGGGGAGAACAGTCATGGAACTGTGCAAAAAAGGATGGGTGCAGGGGTAGTCGGCCCGTTTCTTCCTTTCCCTGACTGGGAGAGAAGGCATCACGGAAAAGCCCCTCCCAAGACCCCATTTCCCACCGTCCCCCAGGAGAGCGACTTCAGCATTCCCTAGTTTGGCACTCGGAGCTCTTTTTCCATTTAGTTCTTACTCCTGCTGCATCCTTTCCCTCAACATTTCACTAGCCTTGGAACTGAGCTTCGGTTTCGCAGCTGGGGACGGGTAAGCGTTTGACACGATAAAGCTTCTTGCTGGGTTTTGCAGGTGGAGTCCCTTAGCTGTAGGGATTTGTCAAAAACGGTCCTTACTGGTACAAAATTAAGACCAACTTTCCAGATCAGGATATGGCAGTGGGTCAGGGAGGCCCAGAAACAGTGCTGAGCTCCCCTTGTCTTCCCACCCACCCCTGGCTCACCCATTATATCACTACTGGGAAGGGTGGGTGCGTTGTGACGATTTGACCTGTGGGATAAAGCATGGCGGTCCTTTTGTTTTGAGGCGATGGTTCTCAACCTTCCTAGAGCTGTGATCCGTTCACATAGTTCCTTGTGTTGCGGTGACCCCCCAACCAAAAAATTATTTTCATTATTTCTTCATAAATGCAAATTTGCTAGAGTTATGAATCATAATGTAAGTGTTTTTTGGAGACAGAGGTTTGCCAAAGAGGTTACAACTCATAGGTTGAAAACCACTATTTTGAGGCAAAAACTCAAGTGTTTAACAACTAAATAAGAAAATCAAAATTCTCAGGAGAGTCCAGTGTGAGCGGGCTATGGTGGTGTATGCCCGCTCTCCTAGTTTAGGATACCAGTAGCTGCAGGGTACTGAGACAGAGGGATAATTCAAGGGGATCTTTAAGAGAAAGGAGGAAAAGTTAAGATTCCCAGAAGCCGTGTAAACATCAGCTGTTGTGAGCCACCTGTCAGTCTAGCCACAGAAGACGGAAATGCCCTCCCCCCGTGAGCTAGCCATCCTGCCTCATTAAAAAGGCAGAAGAGGCATAGAAAATAATTCCTGATGTCAATCTTGGGGCTCCACATGCATGGCACCCACACACGGGTCTTCCTCTTCACACACATGCAAACCTACCTATACACATATGCACACCACAAACACACATGAAGAATTAAAGGCTAATTAGGGCTGCATCTCCTCCTCCCTCCCCTGTCAAAACCACATATATACCTATATATTTACATAGAAAGAGATGGTACGGTATAATCCACCAAGAATTAATTAAGAGATAGGTCTAATGGGATGTGTGAAATGCCTTTGTCTGACACCACCGTTCGTCTGCCTTGTCTGTGTCATTTCTATAGCAGGATTATCGGACCCTAAGTGTTACAGTGCACTTGAATGATGGAAGACATGGTGTGAACAGCCAGTGTTATTAATGATGCTGGCAACCACACCCTCCCATTTGTCCCCATCTGGACCCTCTGTGCTGCTTGGTTACCTTGACCCCCTCCTTCCTTGTCCTTGCCCGTAAAAAGCATCTTGTGCTTGAAGACTGCCCTACCCCACAGCCCGTTATCTGAGGAGACGGTGGTCTCACGCCCTGCACCTCATTACAGCAGACATTCTGGCTCACTGTTCGCTTCTCACGCTGGTGTGCTGTGAGCCTCTCCAGTCCACTAGGGTTTGTACTCTGCTCCCACGAGCAGGGCATTCCCCAGTTGATCACCACCAGGCTCTTCGTCAGACTGGCTTGGGTTTTACAAGGTGTAAAAATCTCTAAATGAGCTCATATGGCTGTTCTTCACAGTTGGGCTTATGCCAGAGCAATTGGGGCGGGGAGGGGGGTGATTAACGGAATAGGTACTGCAGATCCCCAAAGATGACTGGCTTCATTCACGCTCAGTCTGAGTGTTGCAGAGAACAAACAAGTCTTTGTAACTTGTGATCTTAGGACCATGTGGTTTTAGAGCTCCTTCCTCCTGTCTCGATGATTACGTAGCTTATTAATTTAAGTTCCTTGTGTGGTAGCGCAGGGCAACAGGGTGCTGAGAATGAAGGCAGAGGGATAATTCAAGGGGATCTTTAAAGAGGAAGGGGGAAAGTAGCAAGCCCAGCGCATCTGATTGTACCACCATCTCCTGCTTGTTGTCCCTGTGCAGAGCTGCCCAGAAGTTAAATCTGTCATCTAAGAAGAAGAAACACCGGCCTTCGACCCCCTCTGTTGCAGAGGCTCCGCTCTTTGCTACCAGCTTCAGCGGGATCCTGCAGACCTCGCCACCCCCGGCCCCACCCTGTCTCCTGAGGGCTGTCAATAAGGTGAAGGACACTCCTGGCATGGGCAAGGTAAGTACCAGCCGCCACTGTCTTTGCTGTAGGCTCTCGTTTGCTACAATGACGAGGTACCAGGGACAAAAAGAGACACAACGAAGTTGGTTTGGAGGTAGCAGCATCCCCACTTTCTGCATTTGACTCACCCAGGGTCAACCTCTGACTGAAAATCACCATAGGGAAGCCTAGAAATAAACAACAAAGAGGCTCAGAATAACTTTTACTGCAGTACGTTGCTATAGTTAGATCTTATCTGTGTTCTTCTATCACTGTGCCTGGTTTTTAATGGAACTTTGTGTGGAGAAGTGGCACAGATCTGCAAGGTCTCTTCATTTCTACTGTTCATAGTCTTGGCAGCTAGAGACCGTAAGGTCTCCGTGGTCACACAGATTGAACAGTACATTAAGTTGAGGGATCTGATTTGATTTGGGTGAGGAGGGAGATGGCTCTGCATTGTTGAACAGGACCACAGCCATTTCAAAAACAGAGACACAAAAGCTGGAAGCAGAGGCAGGGGGCCCAGGGAAAGCTCCACAGGGAGGCAAGATGAAGGCACTCCATGATTTCCTTGTGGCTCTTCTGAATCTTTGTCCCTTCCATGAAGTGCTGACTTCTGCGTCTGAACCAGACCACCGGTGTGAGTTCTGGGGAACATTTCAGCTGACTTACCAGCCAAGAAATACAACGGGGGGTTGTCAGGAGGCCATAGAAAGACGCAAGGGAAGTCTGTTACAGGATATCGCTGGGCCTCCTATATGATAACTTTATTTCTAAATGTCAACTCTTAACTCTTTATCTCCCAAGATGAGTGTTTGTGTAAAGTAATTTACTGCTTCGTCTTCAGCAGGAGAAATAATCTGGAGCTCATATAAGCATGCAGCTGGAGAGCTGTGGTGATTCTGCTCCTTGGTACCCAAAACGTGGGACTTGTTGACTTTGGCCTTGGATTGTGCTTCAGAAAGTAGCTGGCCATGCTAAAGAAAGCAGAGACAAGTGTACAGACTGTGATTTTACTATCGCATGTGCTCTTGACACCAGAACGTGGTTGTGCCCCTGTCTGTGGTGCCCAGATGACCATGGTCCCTCCAGAATGACCCTGCATCCTTTGCCAAGTGCCCCCATTCTCTCTGTGTTTCCCCTCTTTCCATTCCGGACCCCCAGTACCATCATCCCACTGAGAAAGCCCTTGCTTCATGGTTCTCTCTTCCAAAATGAACTGAATTCAAAATGAGGATAGACAGAGCAATGGCTACTGTAACAGAAAGCATCCAGTTCTGGAATTTCCCATGGTGTTTCTGGGCAGATGAGTGTCAACTAAGAAAATTTCCAGGTCCGGTGGGTCTCAGTGAGTGTGGGAATTTCCTTCTTTAGCTGTGATAAGCACACACGCTGTAAGGCATCACAACACAAACATGTTTAAATGTGCAAGGACATTTGTTTTGCTAACCAAATGGTTGGGACTCGAATGTCAGAGGTTTGGCAGGGGGGCAAGGTGAAGGCCTGCTGCCTCCCCTCTCCTGCTCTTACTTCTAACTAACACCTTACCCTTCCTTCTATAAGAATTTACATGGCATCTCTTGATGGCATCTCTTGGGAAACATACCCGACACTTTGCTCTCCCAGGGTACTCATATATTCCACTGTGACCCTATCTAGGACATGTACAGTGGGACATAACAGAAATGCTGCCTTCACGCTGACCTGACAGAGTCTATATGGACCTTTCTTGAGATGGGACCAGGTTGATGCTTTCTGTTTAAGGACTCCTGCGCCCTTTGTCCACATCCCTAAAGTCCTCCCCGGAATTCCAGTGCACAGGTGACAGCCACTAAGGCCCAGGAGCAGAATAGCAGAGAGAGATTCTTGTAGCCAACAGTGACTGAGCACTTGCAAAAAAAAAAAAAAAAAAAAAAAAACAATATGCATGTCCAAGAGCACAGGAATAATCTGAATTTCACTGCTGTAGCATCTATGTTTGAGGGGCCTTCCAATACATATCCATCCCTGGTTAGCAGATCATAAGTTTAGCATTTGAAATTAAAAGGTGTTACCTATCTCTCCCATTTGCAATTTGGAAATGCAACCAAAGGCCTGAGTTTGCTATGGAAATGTCATGGGCATCAGCCTGTAGGTCACAGGAGAGGCTATATGGCTTCTAGCTGACACATGATAGCTTAGCTCTTCCTCCACTTGTGCTGACCCTTGGGGTCAGTGAAGGGCAGGAAGTGACAGTTAGAGGGACTGTGTTCTCTTAGAGGTGGTGGTAAGATACACTTGCTATATCAAAACCACAGCGAGGCCATCTTCCCACATACCCACCCCTCCAAGGGTTTTTCCTTCCTCTTTAGATGTTGCCCTATAATTGGGAACTGCAGCTTCTCTCCTTGGGTGGGAAAGGCTTCATCCATCCATCTATTAAAATGATGTACCCTTCAATATTTCAAATAAATGTAGTTGAGCTTAATACACAGCATAAATGATTGATGCTGTTTATATAGTTGATGTAGATGAACTTAACTGAATTGTCTAAAACCTCTTGGTGTTCTAAGCTTGACCTTGGGCCTCTAGGATGCCATCTTAGGATCTTCAGTTCTCAGGACAGCTCCTGGCACATAGCAAGTATTTCCTGAGTACCTACTGTGTGTCAGGTGCTTGCAGTGATGGTCAGAGATGAACTCTTGTCCTCATAGCACTTAAACCTAGGGTCTTCTTCCAGGCAATCAGAGACATAGCACTGACTCCAACCAATGAGGGACCCTGACTTAAAGGAATGTCAGAATTCCTAGCTTGACATGTCTGTAAGTTTCCAGACGTACAAAGAACAAAGTACTACTGACTCATTCTGTGAAGACCTTCTTAGTGGACAGATACAAGTGAGTAGTGGGTCAGGTCAGAGCAGCTTAGCCCCCCGTTTATAGTTCATTGATTTGGCTTCTATGTAAATGATACTTGTAATCTGTTTGAAAATGGCTCCTTCTCTCCTAAGTCAGTAAGCGCTTTCTGTGAAATCTGTTTGCACAATTAATTAATGGCCGTGTTTAAAGTTCATTTGTTGTGTGTCACGGCGTAATGCCAGCTCTTCATCTGGGGTTGTAAGTTTCTAGAGAAAAGCCGGTAGTCTGTGTAACTCTTGTGTTTTCTGCCTCCAGAGCTGCATTTAAAGGCAAGGCCGGGAATGGCCGCTGTTATGCTGGATTGGTGGCAGCCCACATGGAGTTTAGATGAATAGCTGAGGGGAGATGTCTGAGCCATAAAGAGGAGATGGGGCTTTTTTTTTTTCTCTCACAGCCCCCAGGAGTGTCTCCAAAACAGTGACAGTTTGTGATTAATATCCAACACCTCCATCCCCTAATGTATTTTGCAAGAATTGGAACCTTGGGGTCCAGGAACAAGGGAAGAAATCACACAGGGTTGCAAGGATCCTAAAGAAATTGGGTGAGGTGGAACTGTAGGTCAGGGGGCCTTATCATGCTTGCGTCACTAGACAAGGAGCTGTAAAGGCTTCCAGTCTTCTGGTTCCACAGTAGGGGCCACTGATGGAGGCGACAAGGGAAAGTAAGGCAGATGTCCGTCTCAGCATAGGCTCCAAGGCAAGGAGCACTATTGCTCAGCCCCAGCCTCCATGCAAGTATCCACTCTAGAAATGGAGGGGCCCACTGTGTCATCCTGTGTGCAGCCAGCCCCCTGCGGTTCATTACGAGTGAACACTACTTGTGGCCACTTGGCTGTGACCCCGCAGGGCATCACTAAGAGTCTTCCCCAAGCACTGCCACCCAAATGTGGGCAGACCGGTGGAGGTGTGGAACTGTGAGCGTCCCAGGGCAACAAAAGCTGGAGCTGTTACTCTGTTCCCCATTGTGTTCAGACTCAGCGATAGCGTGCCTTGACCTCTGATAACACACACACACACACACACACACACACACACACACACACACACACATGGCTCGTGTCGCCAGGTCCTGTGTCATCTCTCTTTAGTTTCAACTCTAAAGCTTTCTGTGCTTTGTGTGTAAACAAGTAGCGCAGAAAAGAAAAAACGGCCAGAAAGAGTGTGTTTGTTGGAACTCTGGTCCTTTGTGCATTTACTGACCTCTTCAGGGCAGAAGTCCTTCGATTACTAAATCCTTGTGACACTCTATAGAAGTAGAGACCATTCCTGTCTAGCTGATGTCCTGACTACAATGGAAAGATTGCAATAAGATTTATTTAAATTAAAGTAAGAGTTTCCCAAAGGTGCTAATGTAACTATTACTCATTTATTTAATGAGGAGAAATGGCAAGCGCAGCTTCAAGGAGTGATTTCAGGTCGTATCAAGGAGAAAAATCTCCTGCCTTCCAGCTCAAGGTCCAGGTCATTTAAGCACATGCAAATTATCCCATTCCTCATTACCACGTCTGCCCTTCCCCCACTCTAAAGCTTTTTATTGGGGAGAAGAGCAAAGACTTGAGTCCATCTTTAAAATTCATTTCAAGTATATATGAAATAAAAAATTCAGATAGGATGGGAAATTCTGGAGCCCAGCAGTCACTCACTGTCCCTACTCCATCTTACATATGAGTGACAGGAAAAATGAATTGTGATATTGCTCCTATTTTCGGTGTACAGTTGAGGAGAAAGAAGAGGTGGGCCTGGCTGCATAAATAATACAAATTCATCACTATGCCTCAGCTGAAAGCTCTATAAATTAAATTGTTAGCTCTTCCGGGAAATAAGCCCATGTGACCTCCCCACTCCCTAATTGCAATTATGCTTTTCCATGCTAAGTTGATTTTGGTTGCTTCGGCTGAGCTCATGAGGTTGTGATTAGTGGGGTGGGTTGTGATTGTTTTTTTTTTCCTCATTCTCTCTGCCTCTATGAGTTTGACCCTTTCTCCAAGCCATCTCCAGAGGAAGGAGATGTGGAAAAGTTGCTCTGGTTCTTTAACGTGTGTGTGTGTGTGTGTGTGTGTGTGTGTGTGTGTGTGTGTGTGTGTGTGTGTTTCTCACATCCACCCAGCTCTTGGATGTGCCA